AGTTTTTTTCCATACGTTGGTTTCCGCATCGCCTTCTGCGCCTCCTTGCAACATTGTGCCCTCAAAAAGATTCCACTGCCCCCTCAGTGCTAAACTCGGCACATCCTAAAACAGATCTGTCAGTGAACTGTATTCGATAGCATACTTCTCTCCCAAATAGAAAACCATACCTTTTCGTAATAAAGATGCGCCAGGCGCACTTCCAAAAGAAACGCATCGATTTCACTTTTGTCGATAACCTCTCGTACCTGAAAATGCCCCCTCCAAGTCTTTCAATAAATTTAAACTGCAATTTCTCAAACATATCTTTCGCTACACACCAATTTGACTGAGCCACAAATATACGTTAATCTGTAAAAGAATACGAAGCTACAGGTTATAAAACAAAGAGGGGATAAAGGCTGCCTTTTCGAAATTTTTTATTTGAAATTATTGTAAAAAGTAAGCTCACATCAAAAGCAACAATACACAGCCGATCACTGAAACTTCGCAATTTTCCAACCACGGACAGATCAACTCCTTCGCTGAAAACTTCCGAATTTGCAAAACCGTTTGCCACCTATAAAAGAATGCTTACATATATCTGTAGAATTTTGAAGCAGCGGTGCTTCGAAGCCCTATCTCTCCGCCCATCTTTTTTTTTTACACAGAATCTAGCAAAGTAGTAACACGCAGTAGCAAACTAGCATTCTTTTACCGCTAGCGATTGTGCAAGAATATATCAATACACTAAAAGTGATGATCATCTCCCTCACCCGACAAAAGTAAGACTTCGAAATCACGACTTGCCGAGCCCCGCGGTTAGGGGCATCAACCTTGAAGTCCCTCAACAGCCAGCATACAATAACATCTCAGAACTCTTTTCAGATCATTTCTCAGGATAGCTCTCAAAATGTAGCACTCCGTGACCTCAAGGCTTTTGAAAGCCAGTTTCAGTTCACCCGAACATGGCCTCTCTGCGATGTGTTTGTTTTTCACCGATGCAAAAACGCATAAAAACCAGGCGTACCACGCCTTTATAATGAATGACGAGGAATTCAACATCCGGATCGTGGAAATCGGCCAGTGTATATTCCACAGTTTGCCCTCGATCTGCCTGCACAACCGCTTTCAGCTGCCCAACAGTCCGTAACTGAAAAGCATTTGCATGTGATTTTTGTTAAAACAGTTTGAAGCTTTAATTAGCTATTGTAGCGCCATCCAAGTTTCCCCGCTGGTGTTCGTTCCGCTGCCGCCGCCTGTACTTGGTCCAGAAAAAAGTGCAAAATTTATCAGCTCAGGGATGAAACACAGGCAGGGTACCAGTTCAATGTACATACCGGCTTGCTTATCTGGGAGATCTAAATGGCACTTCCAATTTTTCCACAACTATCAAAATTCGACTGCATTCCTCTCCACGGTGGGCCAACAACGCCAAAAAAACTGCGTATGTTAAAACATCGAGGACTTCAGGTCCCCGTTCTCTTCCAGTCCTCTGGCCAGAGATATTCAATGTTTGCATTTTTAAAATTTCTGAAACATTTATCACATTTTTTCTGCGCTGCAGCAATTTTCTTGTTTGACAAATTCCAGTAAAGCGATGTTTCGCCAGACGAACAGCAGCCATACGAGAAGGTCAACTACCGAAAGATATATTTGGGTAACTCATTAAACAAGACAAAAATGATAACATACCATGGTGAACGAGAATTTTCCAACGGTGATTTTCTCGGCATTGCTCGGCAAACGACTGAGATCTTTCACCGAAGTCGGAAATGGGAACTTCTCCGAACGCTCTCCACTGATTCGGCCTTCGTCACCATCCACGAACGATGCCTCGCCCCAGCCACCGGCCGTTCCCTCATCGTAACTTTCTTCTCTCCATCCGCCCGTATCCATATTGTTCACTGCAAATACCATGCCGGTTGCAAAACGATGGGAAGGGGAGGAGGAAATTAGCAGTAACAAAGATAAGTAATGGGGGAACCACCCTTGCTTGATGCCAAACATCACTTTGCAGGCAAAATTAGCAAAAAATTCATCGAAAATCTCAAAATTTTTGGCAGAAAGGCGAAAAGCAGAGGCATGCTTCTCAACAGCAAATACCAAGATCCGGCATGGCTTGCTTGGATGGGTTGGGGCATGAGTTGCGATTCTAGTGGTATGTTCTTTTTTTGGATTATTCAGAAGACTGAACTGGAACTTCAGACAGCGTAGGCAGAGACGTAGGTGGAAATTTCACCAGGAAATGCAAACTTAGGCCAAAGGGGTCGTAAAAGAAGAGAAGAAACGGGAAAAATGACTGGAAAGGAGCTGAAACAATCAACTTGGAGGTAAGAACTGGAAAAATGGACGAGGTTTACGAGGAACGGGGCGATTTAGGTTTATGATGCTCAGCAAGAAATTAGATGCAGAATTTAAGCTCGTTTAGTCAGTCTTCAACCAGCATCAAATTTCTTACTTACAAGCTACGAATGTAC